CTCAAAATATGATCATTCTGTCACAACTCAAACAGCATATTTAAAAAAAATCCTTGGCTTAAATGAAGAGGAGGTACAATGAATGAACAAAACTAACAAATAAGCCTGGCCAGGATTTCTGCTATATTTTCCTTTATTACTTTAACCTGATTAGACTTTTCTTTTTATTTATCTGATAGTTTTCAAATTATGCTACAATATTCATTAATATCTAAGCAATTATAGAGAAACTCTAGAAACATAATGAATATGGTAGCTTAAAATATCAAAAAGAATTTTTAAGGCTCCAAAATAACAAAACAAAACAAACAAACAAATTTCTGGACAAGCGGTGCCTGGGTGGCTCAATCAGTTAAGTGCCTGTCTTCAACTGAGGTCATGATCCCAAGGTCCTGGGATCAAGCTTCGCATCAGGCTCCCTGCTCAGCAGGGAGTCTGCCTCTTCCTCTTCCTCTGTCCCTACCCCCCAACTCATGCTCTCTCTCTCTCTCTCTCTCTCTAATAAATAAATATTTTAAAAATCTTAAAAAAAATTTAACAAAAACAAAAATTTCCAGGCAAGAGAAAATGTAAAAACTTAAAATTATTAAGAAATGCATAAAAGAAAATATCAGTGTATTTAGCTCATACCTAAACTGTTATGTTTGTCAGTGTCCAATATAAATTTAAAAGACAAGAAATTAGGAAAATTTTAATCATAAAATGAAACACTAAAAATATTCTTAATATATTTTAAAATACAAATTGCTAATAAAACAAAAAGATATTAAATAATGGGGTGAAATATCCTGCTAATTAACAAAATAATAAATACAAATAGCTAATATAGATATGAAAAATAGCATATTAGCAATAAAAATGCAAATTATATTAATAAGATGCCATTGTCTTAATAGACTAATACTTAGTATTTAAGCATAATTTAGTCTTTATTACTGACATGGAGAATGCAAGAAAATTGTCAATTTTGCTCCACTGGTGCTTTTGTAAAATTGTGGAACAGCATCAGTCACATTTTAAGAATGTCTTCCCAGATAACAATCTATCCCTCATTGCCTACAAATGCCTGACTGCTTCCAAGGCAAACCAATCCATTCATAAGTATGGGCACCAGGAACAATGCTGCACTTCTAGAACACATCCTTAGCCATGGCCAATCAGAATGTTTCTCTCATAAATATAGACTAAGAAGTTTTTGCCTGGCTGAAAGCTTAAGGCATGATCTGGAGATAGATGGAGAATCAGTCAGGCAGAGAGTGAGGAAAAGGAGATAGACAAGTCAGAGAGATTTGGCAGATGGATTTCCATTTTCTGTTCAGTCTCTCCCAATGGCCTGACTTTGTTTTCTGTGAGTGCCAAGAAACCTCATATCTCCTAATAATAAACAATTATTTTTTGCTCAACTTGTCCCTGATATTTGAAACCAAATAGTAATAGAATAAATTGCTTGAGGGGAGCCTGGGTGGCTCAGTTGTTAAGCTTCTGCCTTCGGCTCAGGTCATGATCCCAGGGTCCTGGGATCGAGCCCCACAAGGGGTTCCCTGCTCCGCGGGAAGCCTGCTTCTCCCTCTCCCACTCCCCCTGCTTGTGTTCCCTCTCTCGCTGTCTCTCTCTGTCAAATGAATAAATCTTTAAAAAAAAGAATAAATTGCTTGAAAAATTAAGCCAAAGACTAGAAGAAAATATTTGCAAAAGACAGATCTGATAATGGATTGTTACCCAAAATATACAAAGAACACTTAAAATTCAACAATAAGAAAACTAACAACCCAATTTAAAAATTAGCAAATGATCTGAATAGACATCTCACTAGAGAAGATATACAGATGGCAGAAAAGCATATGAAAAGATGCTAAACATCCTATGCTATCATGGGATTAAAAAATTAACACAATGATATACCACTGGACATCCACCAGAATGGCTAAGACCCAAAATAGTGACTACACCAAATGTTGACAAGGATGTGGAGCAACAGGAACTCTCATTCATTGCTAGTCAGAATACAAAATGGTACAGCCACTTTGGAAAACTGGTAGTTTCTTTTGAAACTAAACATACACCTACAATGCAATCTAATGGTCACATTCCTTGGTATTTATCCAAAGGGATTGAAAACTTATGTCTACACAAAAATCTGCAAACAAATGTTTTTAACATCCTTATTCATAAATGACAAGACCTGGAAGCAACAAGATGTCCTTCAGAAAGTGAATGTATAAATCAACTGTGGTGCATCTAGACAATGGAATATTATTCAGCACTAAAAAGACATGAGCTATCAAGGCATGAAAGACCCAGAGAAATCTTAAATGCATATTACTGAAGTGAAAGATGCCAATCTGAAAAGGCTACATACTATGAAATTTAAACGATATGACATTCTGGAAAAGGCAAAACTATGTAGATAATAAAAAGGTAAGTGGTACCAGAGGCTCAGGTCATGATCTTGGGCTCCTGGGATGGAGCGCTCAACAGGGAGTCTGCCTGAGGATTTCTCTCCCTCTCCCTCTGCCCCTTCCCCCATTCATGCATGCACACTCTCTCTCAAATAAATAAATACATCTTTTAAAAAAAATAGTAAGTGGTACCAGGGGTTAGAAGGGAGGTATGACTAGGCAAAGCACAGAAGATTTGTACAGCAGTGAAACTTTTCTGTACTTTTCTGATACTACAATGGTAGATTCAAGTCATCATACATTTGTTAAAACCCATAGAATATTACAAGAGGGAACTGCAATATAAACTGACTCTCCGTGGTAATTCAGTGTCAATGTAGATTCATCAGTTGTAACAAATGTAGCAGTCTGGTGGGTGATTTTGATAGTGGGGAGGGCTGTGCGTGTTTGGGGCAGGGGGTAGATGGGAACTCTCAGTACTTTCTGCTCCATTTTGCTGTGAACATAAAACTACTCTTTAAAAATGTCTTTTTTGAAAAAGCAATTTGGGAATGTTTTTTAAGAACTTTAAAAATCTTATAAGACAAACTCAATAATCCCACTTCTAAGAGTCTATCCTCTGGGGGGATATTTAGATTATCTTGTAAAATACAGATTATATCCTGAAAATGCAGTGCATAAATAATTGGATAAAAACATTCACTGCATTGTTATTTATAAAAGCGAAAGCAGAAGCTGATACAAACACCCAACAATAAATGGTCAAATTATAATAGATCCATACAACTCAATATTATGCAAAATTATAACTGTTTATGAAACTATTTTTAAAAACTGATAAATTAACAGTTGATAGTACTGAGAAGACTGTAGTGGAAACGTCTATTTTCTGGTTTTGCACAATTTTAACTAGAGCATTCTGGTTTGCATTTCACAGCCCAGTTAAAAAATTTAAAACTGTTATTAAATGATGTTTAAGATTCAACTGTAGAATTTTAGATAGTATGACAAACTGCTAAAAAAATTTTTTGTTTTGTCCAGGGAGGATTTACAATGCCCTTCATTATCTACCACTGGGTTGATATATTTTACCAGCATATTCCGAGAACTCTATCATTTAGCTTATTTTTTTTAAATAAACTTATTTTTATTTAATCTTCTTAGGGAATTCTCTTTATAAATACATTGAAAAACTTTTTTTTTTTTGCTTATGTGATCTGAAAATTACATAAATTCTGCAAGAGTGAAATACATACTTTTGGCTACCTGTAACCTTCTTCTCTCATTTAGAGAAAACAGAGCTTAAAAGATATAGAATTCAGAATGAAAAAATATGTCACTTTCACAATAAATATTTTTCAGGAAATATCTAATGATTTGGGTAACCCCATATTTTCCTACAAAATATCAACTGGTTACTAACAAAACACTCAAGTTGGAAGTTTTTTGAAAAAGTATTCTTATCAATATAAACATTAGGTTTAACACAAAACAACCAATTCCAAGTTATCTGGAAACATTCCATAATACAAAATTTCAAAAAAGCTAATGAAGCATGGCCCTCGCTTATGTCAGTAATCTCTATGCCTCTCAGTTTACTTCTGTCTGTTATATTATCCTCAGCAGACATTCTAAAAATAGTATTGCATTCACTTATTTGTAGAAATCATGATCATTGTACTTGATGCGAATATATTTATCTTTGAATGAACTGTTCGTAGTATATATATATATGTATATTTTTTTCATGCCCACGTGATATTTTCTGTGTGGAAGATTTGCACCCAGAGCTACCATGATTACTGTAGGCTCTGGAACAGAATGGTTAAAATCAGGGGCTCTGGAGGACTAAAGCATGGTTAGGGTAGTATGGTAAATAACTCACACAGATGTGAGATTTGCATGACATGAACTATAGAAAGTGCCTAGAATAGTGTCAGCATGAACTAAATGTTTATTCTTAATAAGTAAATTGAAATCAAGGGAAAGATACTATATCACACATGTCTATCTTCTCTACACAGTACTAAAATTGTATTCAATATTTTTCTGTTTTCAATTTATAACATATAACAAATTAGTCCACATTTTTCACAATTGCATTGTTGAGTCTGAATCAGTAGTTGGCAATATATTCATTCTCATATTCAGTCTTCTATGCATCTTTCAATTTAAACATAAATATTTACAGTTTCTTAAAAATTGTGTAGTATTTCTGTTTTATGTTAGTTTTCAGATTGAATGAGAAGTTATCAAAAAGAATCTCCTATATAAAAATTTGTTATTGTGTTAGTAACACAAAGACACCTAGTATTTTTCAATTCATTTTAGGATTATTTCTCGGAGGGACACTTATTTCTGAAGTTCTTGAATCCTTTCTAAAATGTCTGAATCACTAAAGTTCTCAAATCAAGTTTCAGATTTCTCCCTTTCCCTCCATCTATACCCCAGAACCAGGTTCCCTCTTGGGCATGGATTATGTTTGGGTGAGAAGGAAGACGGTTCAGATTGATAAAGCAATACCCCTGGGAAAAGACGATTAACATGTATAAAGGGATTTCCCTGCAGTATAAGTACCAAGCACGCGCCCTCCTGGTGCTCCAGGGCCTTCCTGATGTATATATGCAGGTAGTGTGATTTGAAACGGCCCTTTGAAACAGTAATAGAATAAAACTCTGATTTGGGGAGTAGCAGTTCTCCTCAGTTTTCTACTGTCTTGTGGGAATGAGTTGCCAACCTTTTACTTCGGCTGATACCTTTATACCTCTGAATTCTGAGGCTTCTGCAACTCTGCCTCTAATCATGCATCACAGCGCTGCTGAGTGCCTCCCAGTCTCTAACCATCCCACCAACGTGATGTCCACAGGTACGGACTCCGATACCAGTCTGCGTGTGGCCGGGCCGTTGCAGGACTGATGCTTTGAATCTTGTTAGTTTAGAATCTCTTTGCTTCTTTTGTTTTCTCCTTCATTTTAATTCGTCTTAGGTTAAATATGAAGGATATTTTAAAAAGTCAAACTACCTAAGACATGTTTAAAGAATATTATTAAGCGTAGTAATTTCAATCGTTGGTTTTATTACAAAGAAGATCTATTTTCTACCAAAGTAAACAGTGAGTCTGGGTGTTTTTAATCCAAAAAGCATTTTTATGTAAACATTTATGGGTAAGGAACAAAACTAAAGAAATAGCCTAAATAATTTAGTGTTTAAAATGTGTTACTTCTTTATCTTAAAGATTTATTTGGTTTTACTATGTCTAAAAACAGCCATATACCTTGTAGTAAACACAGCTGAATGATTCCCAAAACCAACAACAACGGCTTTCAAAGAATAATGTAATTAAATGATATTAACAAACATTTTTAGCATAATTCAAAACTCAAAAATCAAGGCTAGAAGCAATATGTAGCATTTAGAGCCCACAAACTGAGTTAAAAAATCTTAAAACTGAGTTCTGAAGATACTTCAATCTCTCTAACCGAGTTTTAGTATTTTCTTATGTAACTTTCTAACATAAAAAATAAGCTTGAAAATTTGAATATATTGTCTCAAATGTAATCAAATAGGTATGTGTTGCTAATGTGTCCTTTATGTAGTAACAAAGTTTTTTAAAGTAGCTTTATAAATAGAGTCTTGAATTGAGTAAATTTCTTTCATATGTAAGTTTGGATTAATCTGCAGCTGAATTTTTAAAATCTAGAGAGTAGATATCTGGATTTGGTTGAAATCATTAATGTAGAGGGTTATTTTTTTTTCATCTACCAAAGACTCTCATAATTTAAATAAAAAGACAATAATGGGAGCTTCCCCAAACATATTTTTTTAGAAAATATAATAGAGTATTTTAACTAAAAATATATACTATAAATAAATTTAAACAATGATCACATAACTGTGTATTTTAAATAATAGATATATCTATTCTAAATAGGTACTTAAATAATAGTATTTAAATACATGATAATAGCATTGATTTTATCATTTTTCCATGAAATTATAAATTAGTAGGTAAGAAACTAGAAATATTGCTTATAATGAGAAGAATACTTGGATATTACGTGTGTTTCTTGTTTATTTGCTTAATTTTAGATTGCATAGTAAGATTTTTACATGTAATCATTATAATATAAAATGACTTCAGTTCTTTCTACATGTTAATTATAAAATGAAAATTTGTTCAGATATCTTAAAATATTGAAGATTTATCAATAGTAAGAGAAAATGTTTTGCTTTCTGAGGTGACCTCATGTCTTTAATCACTGAATTGTATCTCAATATTTTCAAAGGATTCTAATTCTATACTTTATAATAGCTCATATTTATTCATGGATTCATGATCATATATTTATGAAAACCCACCATTATAGTCAAGATATGAAGGAAAAATGAGAAAATAAAATACATAAAGAAACAGTAGTTTTATTGTCAATACCCAAACTCTTAGTCAACTTGGTGATTCATGTTTAAAGCTTGATAAAAATTTTGTAATTTAAATTTACTTTCGTAATATACATTGATTACACAAGGCAAGCAACTATTTATGAATGGTTATGTTTATATACTGGGTTCAACCTTTATAGATCTCAAGTCGTTCAACAATCAATTTTTTTTTGGCCAGCTTTATTATTGTAATTGTTGAACTGATTGTGTGCATGCAGAAAACCTACCACCTCTTGGTTTCAACATCAACATAAATGCATCATACACTGTCACTTATTTTTCATAAACCTCTGAGTTTACTGGGATTTTTAAGATTGTATCCAATTAGAAGCTAATTGCTTGGCCATTTTCTCTTTGATGGAAGAAATTTGTTAGGATAATAAGCAGAAGTAAAGATTGTTCAAGAGTTGATTTCTGTATTCATTCTTCCAGAGAAAGATCACTATATAATACATATTACACAAGAATTTAACGAGATTATTCCTCTAGTCAGTTTATTGTATTGTCTATATGAGATGGAACCTACAAGAATTCTGCAACTCCCAATTGGCCAACATCCAAACTGGTCAGTCACCCCTTCACAGGGCACAGCATAGTTAATGAATGCTATCATCCACACTGATGATTTATGATCTGATTACTTGAGACAAACTTTGATTCCTGCTTTTAACCTACTCATCAGAGAATTTCCCCCAAGTGAAGACAGATTACTGCCATATAACTTTAAGAATCACATAAATGTGTATTTTTGCAATGAAATGAATGTGTCTTGAATCCTCATACATTTTCTTACCAGTCCCGTCTATTTTGTCTTTGATCCAAACTCCTAAATGTTTGCACGCATATTTCTTGGTGACAACATTGGGAAACACAGCAACAGGACTTCATTACTCTGTTCCTTCCTGTCACTATGGAAACCAGCCATCGACCTATGGAGTGATGGCAGGTAAGAAAAATTGTCTGCATATATGAGGTTGAGTTTGGGGACACTTAGATGGATTCTTGGGTCTGAGAGAATCTTGACCAGAGCATATCATGAAATTCTCATCTCTTAACTTGGGAATTGCTGGTAAACCACTACTTATCGAAATGTTCCCTGATATGGGATGCCTTCAGTGACCATAATGGTTAAACCCGATTGCCCCTGTTCTCCATAACCCTGAACATCTATGCTTAACTCTTTTGTTTGCTTTGTATGATTTTTACTCTAATTGACGACTACCAAACTGCTGATTGTCACTTAATGTTATCGGTGGGCTCGATCTAATAATAATACGGTAGTGACTAACCTCATGTGGTTATTTAAATTTTTTTATTTAAATTCAATTAGCCAACATATAGTTCATCATTAGTTTTTGATATAATGTTCAATGACTCATTAGTTTTGAATAACACCCAGTGCTCATCCCATCACGTGCCCTCCTTAATGCCCATCATCTAGTTACCCCAATCCTCCAACCACCTCCCGTCCAGCAACCCTTTTGTTTCCTGGAGTCAAGAGTCTATGGTTTGCCTCCCTCTCTGATCTCTTCCCTTTCAGTTTTCCCTCCCTTCCCCTAAATTATTTAAATTTAAACATAAATTAGCTAAAATAAGGTCAAATTTAAAATTGAGTTCCTCAATTGCACTAGCCCCATTTCAAGTGCTCACTAACCTCATGTGGCTATCAAAGCAGACAGCACAGATTTATAAAACATTTTCCTCACTGTAATATTTCTTCTGGACATTTGGTCCATAAAGATAAATAAGACATTGAAAGCTAAGAGTCAATTGCGGTGGCTTTAGTGATAGTCGTTTGAAGTTTTGGCAGCTCAAAGTTGTTTTTAGTCTTAAATGAGATTGAAGAGTTGAAGTTACTTATGTTTCTCCTTCAGATAAATAAAGCATTTTTTTGAAGGCTTAACCTGTTTTTTAATTTAGTTATTAAGAGAAAGAGTGGAATACAATGGCAGGGTCTTTCAAGGAACTTCATTAATTTATGAATCTCCATTATTTTCCTTTTTCTTTTCACCCTCGGGAGAGAAAACCTGGGCAGAGAGCGGATCCAAGATCAGCTTCCTACAGTTTCTTTTCTCCCCTCAAACCCAGCAACATGCTGTTCTGTTCGGCCCCTTGGAAGTCCCTCAGTGAATGTGAGCGGGGTCCGCGGAGAACCCCACCTGAATCGGGCCCTCCAAGGGCCCAGGCATTGTTGAGGGAGGCATTAGCTGCTGCTTCCTGAAGATATGTGCTTGGTTACCTTTTTAAGTCAGATAAATAAAGCGTCACTAGATCAAGGTTAATTATTTATTGATGCTTGTATGAAAGCAGTAATAACACATTCCTTAAGGAAGAGGAAAATCTGACCTAATCCATTCAGAACAAAACTTACGACTTAATTTTAGGGTATGGCCAGAAAAAAAATTTTGATGATTTAATAAAAATACACAGTTTTGTTCACATATTTTTTTAGCTATTCTTTGATCTTTTATATTCATTACTACAGCAGGGAGAGAAACCTGATGGGTGACAATAAACTACTGGGGCTCTGTGTGAGAAAATAAGAGAGAGAGTGTGTGTGTGTGAGAGAGAGAGAGGGAGACGCTTTAGATAAAGGAATCGTATCTTTTCTCACTGCTTTGTCTAGTTATCATTCATAGTAAGTGATAGAAAAAAAACATGGATTTATGACTATAAATTTGAAATAAAGTTGAACAAAAAAATAGTTCATTGACAATTTCTACATATTTTTCAGTTTGACACTAAATAAAACACTAAAACTTTAAAATAAAATATTCCAGAACAAATTAGCTTCACTTACATCCTACCACACAGCATTTTGAATAAACTAGTATCCTCACCTTGATGGTAAAATGAAGACTGATGTTCTTAATGATTACCTGTAAAACCTAGCATCTCTTATTTTAATAATTATGAAATAGGGACAACCATATTTTTCCCTTTTGAAAACTGATCATTTATGATTCATATATTTAATACTTAATAAGTATTCATGGTTAATGAGAACAGCCCTTGTTGATGATAAACTACTTTCATTATAAGAATAGTAAAAATGTACATGTAGCTGCTAGAGGTGCAGGCAGAATGCTTCATGTGGCCCACACCACATTTTGATTATGAAGATAGGAAATGACAAGCACATGGCCATGCGCTGCTATCTCTTGGAGGGGAGTCCTTGCTGTTCATTCACAGTGTTTCCCACAAACCCAGGTCCAACTTTAGGTGGCTTCTAAACCCAGTGACAGGCAGCAATTGATTAAGGTTAGCACAAAGATAACATCAGCCACAGACCAAATACCTTTTTTTCTTTTTTAAGAGAAGAAGAGAGAAAAAGAGAGAAGAGGGGGTGGTGGGAGGGGCAGAGAGAGAGGGAAAGAGAATCTTAAGCAGGCTCCACGCCCAGTGCAGAGCCTCACGTAGGGCTCTATTTCAATCCTGAGTCGTGACCTGAGCCAAAATCAAGAGTTGGACACTTAACTGACTGAGCCACCCAGGCACCTCCCAAATACTTTAAGATGGTTTTCACTACCACCTCCCTTCCCACCAGATCAAGGCCACTGGCTACTAGCCTAGTGAATTTGCTGCTGGCCTGAGAATTCTAACATGCTTCTAGTTTCCGGGCCCAGGTTCACAATGAGAGTCCATAGGCTGCTTAGGCTATATTGACAAGTCCCCTCAGCAGGCACTCAGCAAACCCTCTTCCTCACTGCAGCTGAAAAGGAAAGGCTCCCAGAAGAGCCCTTTAAAAGGATCCAAAGCCTGGGTTAGTACCATGAGGAGCAAAAATGGTTATCCTAAGATTTGAATGTATCACCGTAGTCTTAAAAGTAACTATATGTTTTCACTGAAAGAAAAACTCACCATGGCAAGCATAGAGATTATATTTGAATATTTTTTGAGAGTGATATGCTTTATTATTTGTTAGAATGTCACTATTTTGATATATGCTTAGTATGAATATTTGCATCATAGCAGATTGAACCTCAGAGAATCTGCACTCTCCTGTCGTTATCCCCAGAGAAGCTACACAAATTGAGTTATAAAACACAGGAATTCAAATAAAAGAGAGCAAAGGTATAAAATACACAAGAGAAACCTGGCTAATGTCATTAGAATTTTCTGAGAAGTCTCAAGGCATTCATCAAATCAGCCACTTCCACACAATTCACAGAAGCATCTTATCATCTACAACAAAGACAGGTTCATTGTCACACATGCCATAGGAAAGAAAAGCTAGAGGAAGACCTATATTTCAAAACATATGAAATTGCTTTATTTTAATGTGGTCCTCTTATAACCCATACTCTGATGCTTACATTTAGCTTGAGCATTGCATTAAATGAATAACCCAGTGGAAGGGAAGAGCTATAGCTAATATTTTGTTGACGTAGGTAGAGAAGACTTTGCAATTATCGGATGAATCCACTGTGCCTTATAGTCCAGGTGTGGGCACACCAAAAAGAATGACTAATTGGGAGCAATGAATTAGCTGTACCATGAACTGATTACAAACGTTGTTCAAGTCACTTAACTTCTCTGACTTTCAGTCTCTCTCTCTCTCTCTTTTTTTTTAAACGTACACCCTGTGCTTCACTTTCTATCTATTTATTTATTATTTATTTATTTATTTATTATTTTATTATTAACATATAATGTATTATTTGTTTCAGAGGTACAGGTCTATGATTCATCAGTCTTACACAATTCACAGCGCTCACCATAGCACATACCCTCCCCAGTGTCTATCACCCAGCCACCCCATCCCTCCCACCCGCCTCCTCTCCAGCAACCCTCAGTTTGTTTCCTGAGATTAAGAGTCTCTTATGGTTTGTCTCCCTCTCTAGTTTCGTCTTGTTTCATTTTCCCCTCCCTTCCCCTATGATCCTCTGTCTTGTTTCTCAAATTCCTCATATCAGTGAGATCATATGATAATTGTCTTTCTTATTTCGCTTCACATAATACCTTCTTGTTCCATCCACGTTGTTGTAAATAGTTTCAGTCTCTTCATATCTGAGTTGTGATGAGTGCCACCACTCTATTGAAGTTGAATTGCAGCAGATTTGTACCAGATCTGGTTTTCCTATGATCTTCTCTTTAGATACACTTGCCACTAAATGCCTTCTGTGCCTTCACTCCTGAGAATTTAGATAATTCAATAGCCTACAGTGAATTAAAAATGCTCTTGAAAAGCTCTTCTAGATAAACACAACATAAAATAACAACAGCAACAGAAACTCTCAAAACTCTAATTCTTGGGTATCTGAAATTGTGTCTGTTCTCGGGTTTCCGAAGCCGGGTGAAGCTAGAAAACATGCTCAGTGGGCTGCCCACCCCGCCCACCCTCCCGTGGAAACAGCACATCATCAGCCACGCAGGGATGAGTGCTAAACCCAGCCAGGTCAGATTATATAATGGCCAGACCGGATGAGGTGTGAGAGTCCTTGTTTAAAAATGAATTTTAAGAGAAACGCAAAATAGCGGAGTTTGGGGAATTAACCATGAAGATGAATGTCCATTTTCTGTTGTTGTTTTATTTTTCAATGGGAAGTGGATAATAAGAGAGAAGATAATTATGACTGAAAGTGCCCTCTCCACCGATCTTAGGCACAAAGCAACAGAAATCAGGTTGATGGTTGACATGGAGAAATAGTCAACTTTGGAGCCCATCTCTTATTCTTAAATTTTTTCCTTTCTTCTTCTCCTCCTCCCCCTGCTCCTCCTCCATCTTTCTCCTTCCTGTTCATCCTTCTCCCACCTCCTCCTCCTCCTCATTCTCCTTCTTCCTCCCGCCCGCTTCTTTTTTCTCCTTTCTTCTTTCTCCTTTTTTCTCCTCCCCCTCCTCCCCTCCCCTTCCCCACCCCCCACCTCTCCTCCTCCTTCATTTTGTTTCTCCCTAACTAGTTCCGATTATGTTGACTCTCAGGGGAGAATGGATTCTGAAGATTTTTTACCTCTGAATCAGAAAAGGCTGTTCAGTAGCAGTAACATGAGGTATTTTCTCTAAGTTTTCTTAGTCTCTCAATGACTCAAATCAGTCACTACAGCAGGAAAGCAGCCGTAGGCGATGTATAAACAAATGTGCGTGGCTGTGTTCCAAATAAAGTACACCAGGCAGAGGATCCCTGTTGTATATGGATGGGATTTACCAGTGCACAAAAGAGAAAAGATCACAATTCACATTTATGGTTTGCTTCGCATTGTCTTGTGTGATGGAAAAGAAATACATGGAAATATTCAAATACTCAAATATTCAAATTCCTTTGCCTATCTCCAGCAAGATGGTGTATTTTACTGTATGCCTCTGCTTTCCCTGTGTGTTCTTTTAAGGCTTCAGGCACATGACCTCAGATATGTTGGCAGTTAGCTTCGGGCAGGACCAGGTGCTCCCGAAGAGCGATTTTCCCCCTGCCACGATGGGTTGAGCCAGCTACCTTTGCCTCCCCGTTGCCTGCTTTAGAAGATTTACCTCTTCTCCCACTTTCGCCACATGGAAATATAGACACAGAAATTTAGAAAGGTTTTGGTGGATTAATCTGCAACGTGAAAATATACTTTGGGCTGTATATAATGTGCAAACACTTCCCGGATCTCTAGCTGGGGGCTTCTCTAGGCTCACAGACAATTTTGCTTTATCAATGTTTTGGAAAATGTTTGTGAGACCTCTGCTGCGCAGGACTCCCCGCTTCTTTTATATTCTTCCTATTTCTTTTTTTCTTTTTCGATAATCCATGCTTTAGAAAGATTTTAAAAATATCTTGCCATTGATACCATACCAGTCACTCTCTACTCTCCCCCAAATACAAGATCACATGATAGATACTGCTGTTTGTTTGGCTGTGCCTGGGACTGTCATTATGAATTTCTGTTTAAGGTTAGCTCCAGGTTAACTCCAGGAAAACCGTGTCTGTGTGGATAACTGTGGATATATTCACTGAATGAAGAATACAAACATATCACACATCATGTTTTCCTCTTTGCTCTGGCTGCCAATCGTCCGAACATGGTATCTCCTGTGCTCTTTTCATAGACTTGTGTTCAAATTTATTTTTTAAATGCTGATTTTTTTTTTCCCAGAGCATTTATAATGTATAAACTATCTTTATAATTTTCCAGAAATAGAGGTGACTATCTCCTAAGATTTTAATAATTATAATATTTTTGTCTGAAAGTATCTGTTTAATGTAGCCAAATGTGTCTAAACTGCAGATGTCGTTAAAGGAAAGTCATCTGGTTTACAGACTGCCGGAAAAATGAACGAGGTGTTTGTTTTGATGTGGTTTATTACAATGTTCACTGGATTTCAGTTCTGGTTTCAACTGTATAGTTGATTCATTGTGGCACTCAAGGAAGGTTATTGCCTTTTACTTAAATTTCCTAAATTTTAAATTGTGAATAAAAAAGTATTCTTTCTAACTTACATAAGGCTAAGAAGATGACAAATGTGAAATGAACACAGGACAAAGTATCACATGGAAGACTTGTTGTGGTGTGTGACTATGGTCAGAAAGAAAAATTGAAAATAATGACCAAGATTGCTAACAAATTCAGAACTTATGGCTTATCATATAAAAGATATGTAACAAATTACTTATGGACAATAAAAATAATTTGACATAGGTTAAATGAGTTATCTAAAGTGCCTTAAAGTACATTCAATGTGCAAAATCAAACAACAGTCTGCACATATATATGCAGTGAGATATTACTCAGCCTTAAATAAAGAATGAGATGGGGGGCAGCTGGGTGGCTCTGTCAGTTAAGCGTCCAACTCTTGATTTCAGCTCAGGTCATGATCTCGGTGTTGTGAGTTGGAGCCCCATGTCGGGCTCCATGCTGGGCATGCAGCCTGCTTAAGATTCTCTCTCTCCCTCTTCCTCTGCCCCTCCTCCCTAAAATGAATAAACAAACAAACAAACAAACAAATAAATAAATAAAATGGCCATTTGTGACAACATGGATGGACCTAGAGTGTATTACGCTAAGTGAAATAAGTCAGAGAAAGGCAAATACCATATGAGTTCATTTATATGGGGGTTCTAAAAGACAAAAAAAAATGAACAAAGTAGAAACAGACCCATAAATATAAAGAACCAACTGATGGTACCAGAGGAAAATGGGTAGAGAAATGGGCAAAATGGGTGAATGGGAGTGGGAGATACAAGCTTCTGGTTATGGAGTGAATAAGTCACAGGGATGAAAGGTACAGCCAAGGGGCCATAGTCCATGGTACTGTAATAGCATCATCTGGTGATGGATGGTAGCCATACTTACAGCAGGCAGAGCGTAACATATAGGGTTGTTCAGTCACTATGGTATACACGTGACACTAACGTAACATTGTGTGTCAACTCTACTTCAATTAAAAAAACTAATATAGTGAGAAAGAGGAAAAACCCAGCAGCCTAATTTTTGCTCACTGCTTTTACTCCTTCTCAGAATATTTCATCATTAAGTGTCTTAAGTGACATGTGGTATTTTTGAATGATGCAGGAAGTGAAGATTTTAATATATCTAACATCCAACTCTGAAAGCCTAACTGAAAACAAAGTCTTGAGATAAATATCAAGTAAATGCTAAAATAAATGTCATCAGTGTTCTTTTAATGTAGGTTAGTCTTTTACTTCAACTAGCAGAAATCCAAAAGTAATAGAAAGCTAAAAATAACCCCCAAAATTAATAACCATTTTCAAAAATGGAACTATGTGATAAATTAAAAACTGATAAAACTGCATTTAAAAATGTTTTCTGGTCTGATCAATATACTACCCACTAAAGCATAAAATGGATGATTAACTGACTTTAAAAAATGAAATGATAATTTTGGTTTGTAAAAGTAGCATGGATTTTTTTAGACAGGAATAGTTTCTTTCAAATATTTTTCACAGCAGCTAAATTTATTTTATGCTATTTTGTTTAACCCCTCACTTGTATATTTGCTTTGCTTCAAGGAAAAAAAAAGAGTCTATTGGAGAGGGGTACACTTTATAATTACATATTGTCATATAAATAATACAAGCCAACAATTTGCTGACTTACACTATTCTTTGGTCATTATGTATTGATATATTAATGTAAGATTTATATATTCTGGAAAACTACATTATTACTCATGTCTTTGATTTGTGAATATATTTATAGAGAAATAATAGGTAGCATAAACTTGATATGTTTTTCCACTGTTTTCAAGAATGATTATTGCGTATATTCCGTAGCAATTTATTTTTAGTTTAAATGTTTATAATCATAAGAAAAATGACAAATTACAAAATATTTTATTTGTATCAACATGTCTTGGTTATATGTGTCATTTAATATAAATCGAAGTGAAATCTCTTCCAATAAAAAAGTGATGTATTGATGAGGAAAACAAATAAAATGTGTAGAAATTTGGCTTATGCTGTCTTCTCACTCATGCTCCCCAGTTGAGAAACTCTTCTAGTGAAGAATGGAATCTGGAAGCAATTTTTTAAAAATTAGATCTTTTTTGGTAATTTATCATTTAACCCAATCAATTGATCTAATGCTTCATCATTATGGGTGAATGCCCATCATATCTAGAATTGCACCCTTCCCGCCACTTATTTTTGCTTCTTAAATAATAATCAAGAAATGATTCCATTATATTGTATAATTTTCAAGAAATTTTGATGCTTTTTAATAGAACTTTAAAAACTACCTTTTGTCTAGTCACTCCTTGAATCTATTTAAGCATATTAGTGTATTTTATGTTCTCATAATTTTCTTTTTACCTGCCTTCGTTAAATTTTTAAAAAGACATGATTATTTCCCCTTGAAATTCAGCATTGGCTGATAAAACAGTGGAACTTCTTAATACTGTAAAATCAGTTTTCGAATCCTAAGAAAACTTCCCAGCATAACACTTAACCATATGCCTTGCTGATAATAAACATCACAGATTATTTGTGTAATGAATTAAAACAGAGATCAAAATATACATCCGGTTTCGCTTGAACCTCAGATTCACAGGAACAGGTGTCTTTTTAAGAGAAAATGAAATAATGGAAAACACACTTCTGAGAGAATTGGCTTATTTCTATTCTAATTATTTGCAATTCCCTGCTTTTTTTCCCTTGGCATTATTTTTGTCTTCACTGCTCTGAGGAAGGTGGAAAAGAAAAAATCACATTTTTACTAAGCTATTCTGACTTCTGTTTGAGATGGCTGAATGTCAGTTAACCTTTTAGAATTGTGACGGCTTGCAGGGGGATAATGGGTTCTAAGGTGCAAAACTTTTGCTTGTGTAGAAATGGGGGATAATTACAAATGGCCCTTTTCTTTTCTTTCTGTGTTTATTCACAGGTAGCTTAACCCCTTGTCTTTATAAGTTTCCTGACCATACCTTGAGTCATGGCTTCCCTCCCCTGCCCCAGCCTCTTCTGGCAGAGGACCCCGCCGTCACTGATTTCAAGCAGGAACTCAGGCGGAAAAGTAAATTGGTTGAAGAGCCAATAGACATGGATTCTCCGGAAATCCGAGAACTTGAGAAGTTTGCCAATGAATTTAAAGTGAGAAGAATTAAGTTAGGTATGCACTTTTTAAGAGTTACAGGCATACAACTTGGTCTGCAAATCCTTACGATATTACTGTTCAGTCTGTTACACTCTGGTCAGAAGTCCAAGACAGTTTTCATTCTACATCTGTGCTGTGGATTTAAGTTAATCCAATTATGAAAATCCTACCAACAAAAACCAAACAAAACAAAACCTTTTATTTCCTTGTTAATTCTTAATATCCTAAATACATAGGTTTTTAAATTGATGATATTTTTTCAACTTGCCTACCTCAAGATTAACTTTGAAGTACTTGTTTTTCTCCCTATTTTATCTGAACTTTTGAGTAGATGAGCCATTCATATGATTCAAAGGCATAAAATGTGTAAGTGAAATGTATGCTTTATGTTTGTCTTTCGTGTTTATCAGTGTTGTTGGTTTCTTTGCATTCTTCCAGAGATACTGTTTGCAAATACATATTTTCTCCCGACAGATTTTTTAACTATTTATTTAATATTTAATAGAGCTTTCCTTATTAATTTTTACAGATGTTTTTAAAAATGGACCTATCAAATTACATTTCATGAATATATTATTTAACCAGTCCCTTACTGATGATAAATTTGGGTTGTCTCCAATCTTACATTGTTAAAAACAATCCCACCATGATTCACTCCATAAATGCCATTTTGTACCTATATATATGTAGGACAAATGTTAAAGGCACGATTTCTTAATTAAAGTGCATGTATATTTGTAATTCTGATAGATGTTGTCAAATTGGTCTATATAGAGGTTGTGCCAAATTTTACCACCGCCATGAATGTCTCTTGGCAAACTCCTTAGAATATAATCTTTCTGAAAGCAGGAGTTTTTTCTTTATCTATTTTTATTTTTCCTTAAACGCATATCCCTCAGCACTTAGAACAGTGACTGGCAGCACAGAGAATAAATAAGTTATTGAAGGAAAACTATGATTTAATCTTTTGGATCTTTGCAAGTCCCATAAGTCAAAGTGGTCCCCATGGTAGTTTTTTTGTTTTGTTGTTGGTTTTTGTTTTGTTTTGTTTTTTGTTTTTCTTGAGAGGGGAAGAGAGAGAGCACACATGAGAGAGAATGGTGGGAGAAAGGAAGACAGAGAATCTTAAGCAGGCTCCACACCCAGGGCAGAGCCCCACATGGAGCTTGATCTCATGATCTCATGACCCTGAGATCATGACCTGAGCTGAAATCAAGAGTCCGATGCTTACTTGACTGAGCCACCCAGGCGCTCTGGTGGTTTCATTTTAAATTTATGAGTGAAGATTGAAAAGAGTTATTTCATGTGTTTACAGTCATTTGTAATTCTTTCTCTGTGAACTGTCTGTTCATAGCCTTTGCACACTTTCTATTCAATTGTGTTTTTAACATAAAATAACTGTAATAATTAACCTTGATTTAAATTCATGAAGTAGTGCATCTTTTAAATGGATTGAAAAATGATAGTTCCACCCTCTGCACTTGTGGAATGAACCACAGGTAATTTTGTAATGATATTTATTGATGGGCATTATACGTAACCATTTTATGCATACGGATATATAGCTTTAGGCCCTGAATTAATATGCGGTTACTATATGGAATAAACACAGCGGTAGGCATCTTTATAACAACCATTTTCAGTTTGCTATTTATATTGCTGTGAATATTTCAAATTCTATGTTGAGGGTTGATAATCAACTTGTACCCTAAAAATGGGACAAATCTATGAGGATCTTTGGCCAGAAGATAGAAGCGTTACCAAGTGATATAATAAATGTGCTCAGAGATATATGTAAAATATTTTGGTGATCACAGTCTCATAATAAACATGTTTTCAGGGAAAATCAGCATAATTCTTAGTTTTATTTGGTACCTTTTAACAATATAGTTGAATTCTGTACTCTTACAGTTGAGATAAAAATATATCATCATATAATTTATGCATTGTATTTAATATACTATATTGTTCAGCATATATCCCCAGATATTAAATAATAATAGCAAGAATTTATAAGTATCTTATAAAGTGTTTATGACACATCTATCCAATTTCACTAAATATTGTGAATGGCAGGGTTCCTGTCTGAATTCTTTTGACTTCTGGAAAAAATTAACTAGAAACATTTTTTAAAGTACCAGACAAGTCTACGCTGAACTTACCAAGCAATTCTAAATTGCCAATGAATATATGCTTAAAAGCAATATCTAATAGTTAACAAAGAAAGACACAACAATTTCTGTGATAACCGGCTAAAATGAATGCTTCTGGAAGGGCTGACTCTAACAGGTCTTGCCTGCCCGTTCACAGGATACACCCAAACCAACGTCGGGGAAGCCCTTGCAGCTGTGCACGGCTCTGAATTCAGTCAAACAACTATCTGCCGATTCGAAAACCTGCAGCTCAGCTTTAAAAACGCATGCAAGCTAAAAGCAATATTATCGAAATGGCTGGAGGAAGCTGAGCAAGTAGGAGGTACTGGAGTTACAGGCTCTGTGATGTTTTAACCTCAAAACAATGGCCTTCCATTGCTAGCTAGGGCTTACACTGAAGCGGAGAGGTTTGAGGTTTAGTTGGGTTTTTTCTCTTTCGTATGAAAAATAAATATGTTTCATATCCCGAAGAGAGGAAGGCTCATGCAAGTGCAGAAATAAGTTTACTGAGAAGGTAAATATAGTAAGAAAAGAAGCTGCACAGGGACAGCTTTCTGGATAATGTGACAGAGGCGTGAAGTGGTGAAATGATTTTTTTCTAACACATCAAGATTTTCTGGCTCTGTGCATACTCTAGTAATTGCACATGAATTTTTATGACCCGATATTACTGTAACCAGAGCATTTGTGCACACCCGTCTTCCAAGTAAGTACATAAGCAATTGCTAATGTAATAAAATTATCTTATACTAATGTCAAGGCTGGAGAAAGAGCAAGGTTTGAAAGCATTTAAAGCAAGTGTTCCAAGAAAAGTTTGGTCAGGATATCACTAATAGACAGTTGTCTTTGCAAAGTTAATATTTCTGCATTAACATTTGTATCTTGGTCTTGTACTATAAAATAACGTAGAATGCAAAAATTTAAGACAAAAATGTATAGCGACTTTATTTTGCATTGTTTTACAAAGAAAATTTGAAACTCGAATCTGATAGTTTTTTTGGAACCTACTTTGTTTTTGTAATTATTTCTCTTTTCCCCATTACAGCTTTATACAATGAAAAAGTGGGAGCAAATGAAAGAAAAAGAAAGCGAAGAACAACTATAAGGTATTCTTTTGAGATATGAAAACGCATAGAGGAGATGGAATATATACAATATGTACATATGTAAATATAAACAGAGCGTTTGAGGATAATGTAGGTGCAACATAACATAAATGTATGTGAATAGAGTCAACTGAAAAAACAAGATTGGTGAAAAAGCATAACTTAATAATTTAGCACTGAGAAATGGAGAGCTAGTAATTCTTAACATTTGATGGAAAAGTAGGTTATTTGATTCAAGAACACTTGCTCTACAAGTTTTGGATAAAACAGAAATTAAACAATCACTTTGGGCGCCTGGGTGGCTCAGATTGTTAGGCATCTGCCTTGGCTCAGGTCATGATCCCAGGGTCCTGGGATCGAGTCCTGCATCGGGCTCCCTGCTCCTTGGGAGCCTGCTTCTCCCTCTGCCTCTCTCTCTCTCTCTCTCTCTCTGTCTCTCATGAATAAATAAATAAAATCTTAAAAAAAAAAAACAATCACTTCTACAAAGAGTGATCATTTCTGCTGTCCTTTTAGATATGTCTTGCTCTGGCAATTTGGTATCTATGTTATTAAAAATAGCAAAACTATTCATCAGTGTTTCAGTCCTTTAAAGTCCAATGTGATTCCTTGCATTTCAAACCAGAAAGATTGTTGGTTGATCTTTTGGTAATTTGCGTGAAAATTACAGAGGAAATACTAAAATACAGGTTTTGCTTTGGTTGATGAGTTCACTAAACCTTTCGTCTATTGTAAATAATTAATGGTTTCTGAGGAACATTTAGAAATGCCTGCACAAGTGCTCATTTCCTTTTCAGGAAGTCAGTGCCCTCTAGTGGCACAAAATGGGATAAACATAGAAAGCCCAGAATACCTTACTTCTCTGGATACCCTGCATAAGACAAGCATCTAAATATTCTAGACTGCACATTTAGCTTTGTTGAAGCTTTGGAAGTGCTTTCAGAGTCTTTAAACAATGTTTTAATGTTGATATCTAGGATATTCAATATTACTTAATTTTGATCTGCCAACACATCATAAGAACACCATAATCTCACCCTTCTCTACATCCCTCCCCTCAGTATTGCTGCTAAAGATGCTCTGGAGAGACATTTTGGAGAACAGAATAAACCTTCCTCTCAAGAGATCATGCGAATGGCTGAAGAACTGAATCTTGAGAAAGAAGTAGTAAGAGTTTGGTTTTGCAATCGAAGGCAGAGAGAAAAACGGGTGAAAACAAGTCTGAATCAGAGTTTATTTACTATTTCTAAGGAGCATCTTGAATGCAGATAAAATTTATTATTGTGTGATAGCTGATTTTTCTCTAGTTTTCATTCCTTTCTCTTCTCCAACAAAAATAGAAATTAGTTATTTGGTTGGTTTCAAAAATCATTTTATATCAATAACTTTTGCAGAAGCTTTCCTACTTTTTTAAAAAGAAGACAATTATTTAAATATTGATGAATTATTTTCTTTAAAATAATTATTCTCAGAAGCCAAACTGTACATTTTTAAACCAAAGATACCAATAGGAATAAAACAGTGATTCTCTCTCAATCTTTATCTCTCTCTCCCTCCTGCTCTATCTACAGACACACACACACACAGACACACGCACGCATGCACAGTGTGCACGTGGGTCTTTTAGTTTAAGATTCCTTTTCCAAAGGCTGTTTATTAGCTTTTTAATATTTCAGTCATAATGCCAAATAAAGAATATCACAATAGAAGGAACAATTAGAAAATTGATTAACCAATGTCCTGCTTACTATCAGCTCTAATAGTTTGTTTGAACTTAATAGTTTTTGTTTGCACTTAAGAGCCAGAGGTGCCTTTGAATTTCATTAGTGCATTTAGGAATAAATCTTAATCAGAAGCGACACTTTTTATCTTTTTATTCTTCTCAGAGATTTAGCTTTTTTGATGTTTATTTATAGAAAATATGCCTTATGGATTCTTGACCCCAAACTGCTATCCTATAAGCTGCAACAGTGCAGGAATGATGTCTGGTTTGTTTGCTGTTGTTCCTCCAGCACCTGGGAAAGTGTTTGCTCCTAGCGGGGCAGGCAATCTTTGTTAAATGAACAAGTGTGCTGTTAAATACAGCTACAAACTTGAAGGGTGCCTAACTTAATAACATAATTTAAGTGTCACAACCCAGAAAATTACCTGGGATCCTATCAAAAAAGACTATCACTTAAGTTTAATTGGTTAGAGTGTGGTTTATTATTGATGAAAAAGTTTGACATATTGAGTATTTAAATTTGGGGAATTATATCCAAGGAACATATTTAATTTATAAGACTGCACTTCTTTGAAACTAGCAAGTAGAAGCAAACAATAAGGTAATAATCTAAGTGACCTTTTTGCATTTAAAATATAAATCTGCTGGCAATGTTTATCTAACTTATTTTATATAACAAAAATGGAAACAATTAGACCAAATTTTATTACTGATTTAGAATGCTTACTAAATAAATTATACTGTCCAGTCTCATGGTTATGATGGTTTTTATGATATTAATAAAGACCAAGCACTATACAGGTCATAATCTCTATAGATCGTATGTGTTTATGCACACATAATCACCATTAATTGGATGGCTAGAAACTTTAGTTTTTTACAAAAAGACATATTTTTCAGTGACTTAATCATCTATTCTTAAGCACACATTTAGCACCCAGGAGATGTTGAACAAAATATGCATACAAAGGCTTTTATTATTCAAGAGTAAATTCCAAATTATTCAGCCATATAGATATGTAAATTCCTTCTCTGTATAATTCACCTGCTTACCACACACACTAATTGGGAAGGGATTCTTTAGTTTGCAAAAGGCAGGGATAGGATGTATATATGTACATATATGCATTCTATATCCATACACAAAAATGCATATATGCATGTCTGAAAGTTGCAAATAGAAACAAAATGTAATGCAAAATAAATCTAGAATAGTGACTTTTTTGCACTTTAAATATAAATCTGGGAACGTTTAATCTTTCTACAACAAAAATAAGCATGTATGAATGCTTCTATCATCATCACATATATATGATCATAGTCTTATCAGACATTCACCCATAAGATTATTCCAGTTTAGATACAACTAGCATTGGGAAGTAATTTTTCTCCCTAAAAGGAATTATTTTGAATCCATATTTAATATTGAAATAGCAAATCTTTAGTTATTCACAAGTTAGTTGTAAATGCACTGGTATTTACTATTCACTTATTTGTACTAATGAGTTTTTTGAGACTATTTATTCTAACTACATTGAAATATTTTAATAGCCATAGATTGATCTTTTTATAAAAAATAGAAAATAGTTATTTAGAATCCTAAACTGCAATTAAACAAATAGCAAATGTAATTTCCTGTGCAAATTTGGGAATATTATTTGAGAATAAATGGCAAAGCTGACTTTAGCCATAGTCTTTCCATCCTATGTTGTTGTGAACTTTTCAGTGGTAAATCTTCGGAAATTTAGTATAGTCCATTAAAACGAAAAGATCTATTTGTCAATTATACCAATTGGTACATTCAGTTCTATCTGGTAGAGGTGGTTGACATTCATACATTTACCTTTCCCTCTCTAATGGTGGAAAGATTGATCTAGTAAAAAAATATTTTCAGTGTTCAGGGATGGGAGCAGTGTCTGTGTGCACCTGCACTCAAGGTCTGGGAGGATTTTGCGGGGGGGGGGGCAGAGTAAGGGGAGTATCCATTGTGTGGTGTTCCAACAATTAGTGCCTTAAATCAAACTTCACAATCCCCAGGCTTCCTCTAAGGTGAATTCAATCCAATTGACTTTTAAAGGAACGGAGTGTAGAAGAATGGTCTTAAGTCCCTTGATGGGACTCAATTTCTATAGAGAGGAAATTGGAAAGTTGATCTGTTTTTCTGCTGCTCCAAAAACCTATTCTTGCAGAATAATGGCATCAAAGGAGACAGGTCATCATAGGTCTCTGGACACACATACCCTGTTTTAACAAGGGAGTAGCTAAAATAGGAGCACATATTTAAATTAGGCCCCCAGGGATCAGGCTAAAAGTGTAGCTAGTAAGGAATGTACTTGTGGCTAAGGGGAGAGTGCAGTTTTCTTCTAAAGGCACTCAAATGCATAATAAAATATGTATCACTGTGCAGGTTGAATGAAATAAAGCCCAAGGCTGCCAGATTCCATCTGGTCTTACAGGGTCACAATCTTGAGCCCCCTTCCAGTGGGCCTGCCATAGCCAGGTAGGTACTCAGAGCACAGAATGTAGTCTATATAACACAATCATCTGACAGATGGTCATTTTATGTTTTCTAAGACTAGCTGTTATTATCATCAGTACTGACATTTTCATACCATACCACATTCTACTTCCTGATACCCTGAAATCTCCTCCACCCATGATTTTTACATCCAGTCATAGAAGGTGACATTGCGCTGCATCCTTCTTGGTTAACAGAAGTATTGCTATACTCTTCACTCTCTATTGGCAACCTCTTTTTTGACTACAGTTGTTAAAAGTAATCCTTTTGCCAAAAAATAGAAGTTAGGGAGAGCAAGGCAAAAAAAAAAAAAAAGTCAGTAGTTGACCATTGAACAACATGGGTTTAAACTTTGCAGGTCCACTGATATGTAGATTTTTTTCTTCAATAAATACGGTCCAGTACCATAAATGTATTTTCTCTTATGATTTTCTTAACATTTTCCTCTATCTTACTTTACTGTATAATACAATATATAATACAGATAACATACAAAATATGGGTTAATTGACTATGCTATTGGTAAGGCTTCTGGTCAACAGTAGGCTATGAGTAGGTAAGTTTTTGGGAAGTCAAAAGTTGTATGTGCATTTTTGACTGCATGGGGTCAGTGCCCCTAGCACCCACATTGTTGAAGGGTCAACTGTATTTTCATTGAACTCAATGTATAAGAATCCTTGTTTCCTAATCTTAAGGATTGAAAATAAGTTTTATTTTTAGTAGAGGATAGTGTAACAGTATAAATTTAGAATGATTATGAAAATTGCCACAGGAGCATTTTATAAATATAGCCTAATCAGAATGGCTCCACTCTCTCCTTTGGTTCCCAAAGCCTTCTGTAGTATCCATGTTTGACCGAAAATAAAGGAAATCACTAAGACTTAAATGTTTAAAAATACTATTTAAAAATGTTTATCCCCTGAAAATTCTAGAAAAGGAATCATCAGATCGATTTCATGTGAAACCATCCATTCTTAGGCTTACTCCATTCACAAACATCAGTCCTGTATCAACTGCTAATTCTTAGAAGGCATTTGTTAAAACGTAAGGAGCAGAGTTACCTAATTTTCTTTCTAGGAAAATGATGAAAATCTTTCTTTTGAAAAATTACCAGACATGCACAAAAATGTTAACTTTAGCAGAAGCCAAAAATAGAGTAAAAGATAAGGAAAGAAAGCATAACAGCAATAAATCTTTATTGGAATTTTTTTAACAAAATAATTTTTAAAAACAAAAGCCCCCGCATGTAAACAAGAAAGTAAATAAAGTTAGTTGGCATCATTATGTACATCCAAAAATCAAAACCAGTTCTGGGTTAACATTCCATAATCCAGTAAAATGTTTTGACCCATCAATGGTCAGGGAAACTATTTAATACTATCAATAATGCAACCTGATCTTTGAACATCATACAATGATTTATGAATTATAAGCGATATAGTTGGAACTTTTCATTCTTCCCACCAATCCATATGCCACATGTAGACTAGTCCTAAAATGGATTTACGTTGTCAATATTAGACCAAAATGTCCATCCTCGTAAATTGACCAGGTTACACCTATCTGATCTCCTCCACAGTTTTTTATTGTGGGATATACTAGAACCCATATATTACAACATAACTTTTTTAAACTAACCTAATCCTAAATTCTACCTCTAACTAATCTGTCATTTCATTTTTTCTCACTTCCTATACATACATTAAATACCATAGCAACTTCACCTTAAAAAATACTGCTAATACATTAATACACATTTAGGCAGTAATTTCTGACAAAGTTGTAGTTTATTTACCAAGAAAACAATGCTATTTTTTATTTTAAAATTTAGGTCAAGTATTGTCATAGTGTTAAATTAAGAAGGATGGCTTCCATTTAGAGGGTTCAATATACACATTAATGAAGATCAAAATTAAACAGAGATTAAATTATGTCCCATATGGGGAAAATTTTCTCAGTTCTTGGAAGAAAGACCAAAATAGTTTTATTACTATAAAATGTTATTAATTCAGTGTCCGTTTTTGCTAATTACATTCAATTCACTTTCATAAGCTTTACAAAAGAGAGTCGGGATAATTTTTCTAAGAGGCCTTAATTTTGGTTTAAAATGTAAGTCTTTTCTGTCAGTTAAAATAATTTAAAGATGTGCACAATATGTTTGTGCTGTTTAAGGCAGGTGCCAAGCACATTTTGAAAGGTAATAAACTTACCAACTAGAATGTTCTCCCAAAGGAAAAAAAAGAAACGAAAAGCTCATGACAGTTTTTAAGACAGATGTTTAAATAGCACTCT